TCTGTTGTGTCAGAGTCGGTGGGGACAAGGGGGAGGAAGGGGCTCTAACATTAGTGGGGGGGCTCTGTCACTGTGGGGTGAATCTCTTGCTCTCTTTTTGAGACAGGGTTTCTCTTTGTAGTCCTGGCTGTTCTGAAATTCACTCTGTAGACCAGGATGATTTTGAACTCACAGAGATCTACCTACCTCTGCCTCCCAAGTGCTGGATTAAAGGTGTGTGCTGCCACCAACAACAATGGTGGGGGAGGGCTCTGTGTGTGTGTGTGTCCACATGTGCACGTGCCTGTGTGTGCATTGGTATTTTCTCCTTGTGTGTATATCTGTGTGACGGTGTTGGATCTGGAGTTATAGTCAGTTGTAAGCTGCCATGTGGGGCAGGGAACTGTACTGAACCCAGATCCTCTCTGAAAGATCAGTCCATGTTCTTAACCCCTGAGCCATCTCTCCAGCCCAGCATCTCCCTGTTGTTGCCATGTGACCACATGACGATGTACACACGGTACAAACATGTGGTGCTAACATACGATGATACTCAGTGTCCTGTACTATTTCAGGTTAGACTGTGTGATCCCAAGATTTGTCTGTGAGGATATCGTGGTAGCTCATGCTTGTAATCCCAGCACAGAGCGGGCTGAGGCAGGAGGATCGAAAGTTGAAGAATCCAGGGATGTGTAGTGAGATCTGTCTCAAACCAAAAAAAAAAAAAAAAAAATAGGACAGGTTTTTAATCAAAATGGCCATGTAGGGGTATGGTTCATCAGCCATGGTCCAGGTGACTTTTGGCTGGCCATTGTCCTGTTCACTTACTGCCAAGGTGACTGACCCACAGGATGCTCGGGTGTGGCCTTACCGTGGGTGACATGTTTACAGACTTTTACTTCCTGTTGTCCTGGCTCACTGCAGGTTGAGGGCACTGGTGTGGAGACTGGTAATGTCTTTTCTGGGGATCGGGACACTGTTGAGGCCCATGGTTTCTCAGTCACTGTGCCTTCAGCCCTGAAAGAAGATGAGACAGGTTTCTACATCTGGGACTTAGCAGTCACTTCTTTAGACGGACAGTCCAGGCATTCATTCCCAGGCCTGTGTGTAGAGCGAGCAGGCTGTTTGCCTGCGTCCATCCTGCCTTGCGCTCCATGGCCCTGGCCTGCTGGGTCAGAGCCTCCAGCAACAATTCTTTTTGGTTTTTGTTTGTTTGTTTGTGTTTCTGGGACAGGGCTAAAATAATTGAGCGTTGGGCTGGAGAGATATCTCAGCGGTTAAGAACACTGACTGCTCTTCCAGAGGTCCCGAGTTCAATTCCCAGCAACCACATGGCGGCTCACAGCTATCTGTAATGGGATCTGATGCCCCCTTCTGGTGTGTCTGAAGACAGCTACAGTGTGCTCATAGACATAAAAGAAACAAATAATTCTAAAAAAAAATAATGTGTGTATGCATGCACACATGAGTGTGTGAGTGTGGTTCTTTTTGTTGTTGTTTTTTTTTCCAAGACAGGATCTTACTATGTAGCCCTGGCTGACATGAAACTTACTCTGTAGACCAGGCTGGCCTTGAATACATAGAGATCCGCCTGCCTCAGCCTCCTGAGTGCTGGGATTAAATGCCTGCGCCACCACTGCCTGGCTAAACTTTTGTTTCTTGAGACAGTCTTACTACAGTAAGACTCTTGGCTGGCCTTGGAGTCCTGAGTGTCCTGCCTCAACCTCCAAGTGCTGAGATACCTCAAAATCCCAGGCTGTAGCAAACATGGCCTCCAGGCTCTGAAGTACTTGGTGTCCTCCTGGGACAGTATCTGACCTCCCACACAGCCAGTGGCCCCAAGGGCTGTCACTTCTGCCCATTCTGTTCTTTAGAATGAATCTCTGGTCGGGCAGTGGTGGTGCACACCTTTAATCCCAGCACAGAGGCAGATGGATTTCTGAGTTCGAGGCTAGCCTGGTCTACAGAGTGAGTTCCACGACAGCCAGAGATACACAGAGAAACCCTGTCTCGAAAAAAAAAAAATAGAATGAGTCCCCGAGTCCCCTCCCCCTGGGACTGAAGCACCACAGCTCAGGGGCATCCTGACAGTGGCCACAGCTTCCCTGGGGTAAGTTAGAAACAGAGACTCAGAATTCATGACTTTAAAAAAATAAAGGATATATTTATTTTATTTATATATATGAGTACACTGTAGCTGTCTTCAGACACACCAGAAGAGGGCATCGGATCCCATTACAGATGGTTGTGAGCCGCCATGTGGGTGCTGGGAATTGAACTCAGGACCTCTGGAAGAGCAATCAGTGCTCTTAACTGCCGAGCCATCTCTCCAGCCCAAGGTTTTGATTAATTAAACTCAGTCCCTTACTCTGTTCCATGTTCTGTGATGGCCTCACAGGGACCAGTAAGGAAATGGTGGTCACCTCTAGGGTTAAGTGCCCTTAGCAAAAGCAGAGATAGGAGCTACCCTCTCCGTGACTACGAATAACTGAGTGCAGACAGGTCAGAGAGGTCATGAGTTCATAGCCTGAGCCATCTTCTCTAAAGATGAAGATGCTATGCTGGGTTTTGAGGGATGGATAGGAGGTCGTTTCCCTGGCAAAGGAAGAAAGTGTGTTCCTGGCAGGGGACCCGAATATGCCAAGGTGTGAAGGGGCTAAGAGAGCCAGTGAGTTTGGAGACCAGGAGCAGTCTGAGTACTGTGTGCTGATGGCCCTGAAGGGGAGGGTGGAGGTACAGGCTGGAAGCTGGGCTGAGAGACAGGACCCGCATGTTCCAGAACCATCTTCATGACTCTTGGTTCTAGATGTGAACAGATGTCTGTCCAGACGGGACTCTAAGGTTATCTCAAGTTTGGGAAGCCTTGGGTTAGACTAAATAAAAACCCTTTTCACTAGATATGACAAGACAATGGCTCAGTAGTTAAGAACACTTGTAGCTCTTCCAGAGGACCCAGGTTTGGTACCCAGTGTCCACATAGTGGCTCACAAGCACCTGCACCTTGAGTTCCAGGGGATCTGATGCTCTCTTCTGGCCTCTGTGGGCACCAGACACTTGATGCTTTTCATGCTGTCTGTGGTGGCTCATGCCTACAATCCCAGCTCTGGGAAGGTGATCACTTTGCATTTGTGGATGACCTGACTGTGGAGTGAGTTCCTGGTTGGTCTGGGCTAGACTGAGATCCTGCTTCAAAAATTTAAAAAAACAAAAACAAAAACAAACAAACAAAAAAAACCTCAAATCTTTTCCTTGTGAAGGACTCTCAGAGCCTTTGACTGGCAGGGTTGTGAGTGCCCAGCAGGAAGACAAGGCAGATAGGATTCTGTCAACACATTTGTATGGTTCCCAAACTCATTTGATTACAAAGCCCTGTCCTGGATCGTGTCAGAAGGCCAGGCGTTCCAGGGGACAGACCTTGGGAAAGGCTGCTCATACCTGTCCTCAGGACATGGTGTCAGGGGATCAGATGTCTTGATGTGATCAGATTCACAGGCTTGGCTGCTGTGTCAGGGAGAGGGGATGGGGGAGCCAGGAAATCCAAAGAGGAATTGGAGGAGAAGGGCAAAGGGAGAAGAAGTAGACACAGGAGGGGGAGGCTGGACCAACAGGCTGGGGTCTGAAGGTGTGAGAGGTAATGAAGGATGAGGCTCTGGCTGCCAGTGGGTGCCAATGCATGCCATTGGCTGGTGAGTGCCAGTAGGTGCCGATGAATGTCTGTGGGTGATAGTGGGTGCCAGTGGTGCCAATGGGATACTGATGGGTACCAGTGGGTGCCAGTGGGTGCTGATGGGTACCAGTGGGTGCCAGTGGGTGCCGATGGGTACCAGTGGATACCAATGGCTGCTGGTGGCTGCTGGAGGGCACTGGCAGGAAGGGAGGGAGGCAGAGGGGAGAACAGCAATATCTTAGTTCCTTTTCTATTGCAGTGCAGAACACCGTGACCAAGGCAGCTTATTTATAAAAGAAAGCATTTAATCTGGGGCTCACAGCTCCGGAGGGTTAGAATCCGTGACCATCCCGGTGAGAGAACGGTAGCAGGCAGGCATAATGCTGGCTGAAGCAGTAGCTGAGGGCTTACATCTGATCCGTAAGCCTGAGGAAGAGAGAGATGGCTAACTGGGAATAGCACAGGCTTCTGAAAGCTCAAAGCCCACCCCGTGACACACTTCCTCCAATAAGGCCACACCTCCTGATCCTCCCCAAACACTTTCACTGACTGGAGAACCAAGCATTCAAATATACCGACCTGTGGCAGCCATTTTCACTCAAACCACTACAAGCAGATGGTGACAGCTTACCAGAGACCTGTAGCGGGGCATGGGGAGAGCAGCTGGCCTGAATTAGGAACTCGGAGCCTTGTCTATTTTTGGTTTGTTGTTGTTGTTGTTTTTCGAGACAGGGTTTCTCTGTATAGCCCTGGCTGTCCTGGAACTCACTCTGTAGACCAGGCTGGCCTCGAACTCAGAAATCTGCCTGCCTCTGCCTCCCAAGTGCTGGGATTAAAGGCGTGCGCCACCACCACCCGGCTCGGAGCCTTGTCTAAACTGACATGGTGCCATAGGCAACCTGAACATTTGAAATGGGACAAGACCTTGTCTCACACATGTACACAAAAGGATCAGAACTTTCCCTCAAGAGCCCTCATTCAAAGGATATTCCCAGGGGCTGGAGGGATGGCTCAGCATTTAAAGGATAGGCTCACAATGAAACCATCAAGGGACATTCCCAGACCAACATGCATCCAACATGGAAACGTCTAGAAAACACTCTGAGGAGATGCCATTCAAGGGCGATGACTCACATACATACCTCTGGGGACAGACAGAGCTCAGTGCCGCTCACGAAACTTCGCAAGGTTGGGGATACCTTTCCCTTCCTTTCCCGAGCCTCAGTTTCCCCATCTGTGCAGAGTTGCTTTGTGGAGCACGGGCGCTCTCAGAGTGAGGCAAAGGGACTGAGTGACTTTGGCAGGTGCTGCCAGAGGAGCTGATGCTCTCTCCGTCATGTCCCCTCTCCCTCAGGCTTTAAGATGTGTGTCAGCAGCAGCAGCAGCCATGACGAGGCCCCCGTGCTGAACGACAAGCACCTGAGCGTACCCAACATCATCATCACACCCCCAACCCCGACAGGCGTGGGCCTTTCCCGGGATTCTAACAAGCAAGGTGAGACAACACCACTCTGCAAGAGACTGCTTCCAGGATGCCTTCTGTGCCACGGCTTGGGCTGGTCCCCATCTCCCCCGAGCTTGCTAATATATGATCAACTCTATGGCCATTCTGCTCTGAGCCCCTCATCATGATGGCAGCACTGGCAAGATGTGGCTTGTTGAGCAATTGTCTGGGCAGTCCTTGCTGGCAGCTAGGAGGATGATGAATTGGTCTGGGCTGGCCCCCATGCCACCACATCTTAGCTTCTCACTGGAACTGAAGGATACTCCATCCCTGCCAGCAGCAGGGACCACCCATCCTCCATAGTGTTTGTTGGCTACAGCAGGTTGGACCACAGGATAGATTGGGAAGAAGACCCATGCCAGGCTGTGGCTGTCCTTGGGTCTTCCAGAGGTGAGGGAAGGGAATATATGAAGTACTCCTGGCTAGACAGCGTGACAGGGTAGGGTGCAGACTGACATCTTGTCTGTCTCTTCCCGATGCCCTCTGAGCTGGTAGGAGAGACCACTCTCTTGTGGGCTGAACAGAAATACATTGAGCCAGGCCTGGTGGGACCAAGTCCCCAATCTCAGCTATTGGGGAAGCTCACGCAGGAGAGCCACACGTTCAAGGCTGCCTGAATTCCAAAGGAAGCTCAAGACAAGCCCAGGCAACTTAGCCAGACCCTGTCTCCGAATAAATATTGGAAAAGGGCTTGCCTCCTGCTCAGCGCTGGTGTGCTCAAGGCCCTGGGCTCTGTTTATCCCCAACTCCAAAGGGATGTAGAAGGAAGTGCTTAGTCAGTCGTGGCTGGTAGCCTGTACGGAGGAAATGGGTGGATTTCTCACAGCTGCTTGGGAGCTGACTTAGTATAGATCTTCAGCTACAGATGGGCAAACTGACGCTCATTGAGGCTGGTGAACAAATGATGTAGAGATGTCACTGAGTCCCAGCGGGATGGATGGCATCCTGGGGGAGCAAGCCCAAAAGGAATGGGTCACAGGGTGAGAGGTAGGAATCAGCAGGAGGGCGGACCTCCCTTGCTCGGTTTAACTTCTTAGAGAGCCGCAGCTCAGATCCCAGAGGACCACCCTGGATCCCTGCAGAGGGCAGCTGCACCAGGTACCTCGTCAGTCCTTCAGACCACCCTCTGAAAGAAGCCAACCTCTCTCAGCATCACCACATGGAGGGCAGAGCTTCCAGCACACAGGGTCCTCTGGGGACAAGCCCCGGCCAAACCATCATCCTTTGCGACCTTTCCCAGAGCCCCTCACCAAGCTACCTGGTGTATGCACACCTCAGTTAGCTCTCATTCTGGTGCCCTGAGCTGTAGGTATTATTTGTAGCTCTGCTTTAGAGAAAGGGAGAGGAGGGGGATCCAGGGAAGGAGAGGACACACCTGAGCGGTCACAGCAATGTGGGAGAGGAGCCAGGCTCCCAGCCCGTTGCTTCTCAGCTCCATAGCCAGTGTCTGAGCAGACAGCAGAGACCCAACCCTCAGCTTAGCCACAAGGAAGGATGCATCTCTCTCCAGGCCCCAGTACACCCTCCTGAAAAGTTCCCAAGGTCATTATTTACCCCCACAGAATTGTGGGGTGACATTTCAGCCCGAAGCTAAGTGCTTCGGGGTCTCCTGAATCCTGGGAGAAGACCCATTTAAGCCTGGACAACTGTGGGGTGTGTGGTTCGGGGAAGCGGGGGGCGGCCCACACGGTCTCTCAGAACTCACTTTTTGGCTCCATCCTGCTTCCAAAATTCCTGAGCCTGAATTTCACCTGCTCCCCAGAGGGACACTCACTGCTGTGAGTGTCCCTGAGCCTCAAATGCCATCCTCTGTCCAGGGAAGATGAGAAGAGAGGGACAAAGGTCTCACAAGGACCTCAGGCCTTTCACATTTTGGTGATATTGATGCTACCCATGGGGGTTAAGACAGGGAAGAGCAGTAGGCTAGACCAGGGCCCTACAAGCTGGAAACACTTGACACAATCTCCAAGAGTCCTGAGAAAGCACCCCAACTCTGACATCTCCACCATATCTATAAGCCCAAGGAGACTCTAACACCTCCCCCTGTCCCCAGAGGGGCTCCAGGTGTTGGGGGGTCCTGAGGCACTGGGGGTCCCTTTCAGCCTCCGTGACTCTGATGCTCGGCGATGGGAGACTGGGGTCCTGAGATGAAGAATGTTAGGTCCAGGGAGGAAGCTGACAGAGGAGAGCCCCTCTCTGATGCTGCCCCTGCTGATCTCTTTCTCCTAGTCTGGATGGATGAGCTGGGGTCTTATCAAGATGACGGAGAGCTGGAACCTGAAGCCTGAGAAGTTACCACTCGTTGAGACCTGTGTGGTGGCGACTTGCCCTGCTACCCATAACCCAGGGTGTTGGGGAACATGGCTATCTGAGCAGCTGGATTGGGACAGTGAATTGCGCCCTGGACCAAGACAGGGATGACAAGAAGAGCACAGCAGGTTGCTGGCCCCAGCGGAGCAGACCCCTGTGGTCTGAGTCCGCACCAACCCAGACCCCGGCTTGGTGAAGAGGAGGCCATCCTGCCCTATGGTCACTGTGACCATGGACCTCAGACCTCGAGGCCCCAGAGCACAAGGACTTCTCGCCAGAGCAGGGCCTCTGTTTTTTACAAGTTGTTTTACAGGTATGGAACCTACGTCCTGAGCGAGATTTATAAATAAAGTTCCTTTGTGATTTGTGGGTCCTGATTTTTGGGTTGGGGAGGGGTGTGCCTTCCTCAACAGGGTCAGAGGCAGGGGTGACATCACAGGCAGTGAAGGTTGTCCACATTCTTGGCCTTGTCTCCAGGAGTAAAAATAAAACTCCCACAGAGCTTGCAAAGCAGCCAGGGAATTGTTATTTTGAACAAATAGCAGACAGGAAAATCCCGAATGGACAGCCACTATTGGTGAAGACACTCAAGGGGCTCAGTTACTGTTTGGGCATCCTTTCTTGGGGTGAGACAAATTGAGTGGCAGGGTTATTGAGGGGCATAAAGAGGGTGGTTTCAGTTTTCTTTAATAAGTGCCTTTAATGAGTACCTCATGCATGCAGTACCGACAGAGGCCAGAAGAGGGCAATAGATCCCCTAGAACAGAAGTTACAGATGGTTGTGAGCCACCCAGTGGGTCCTGCATGTAACTCTGTAAGAGCAACCGGTGCTCATAACCACTGAGCCATCTCCCGAGCCCTAGATTTTGGTTTCGTTTGGCAAATTAGGTCCTATAACCACAGACCTACTATCCAATGTCCTTTTCTCCTAATTCATCTGATTTAAGTCATGCAACGAATACATAATTATGCATAAAGCGGCAAGCCAAGCAGAGATTCTCTCTAAAAGTTCACTTGAGGGCATAGTTTTGCTTTCCTGCCCATGGATCCCAAACTAATTCAGGCTGGATTGGTCCTCCTACCCTTGGGCCAAGATGTATTGGGAATGTGTCTGAATAGGAAGTATCCAAATTTGGTGGTCATTCATGGAGAAACTTGACACTGTTCAGTGAAGGGTGTAGGTGCAGCCTGGTGCTGGTGGGGTCCAAGGTTGTTAGCAGCATTGCTTGGAGATAGGGTGTGCCTGGTACATGCCAATGAGGGGGTGGGGCTTTAGGCCTTATGAGAGGGTGTTTGTGTAAGCAACCCAACCCAAGTGAAACGTCCCTTAGGTATCCAGTCACAGGTACACAGTGTAATGACTGTGGCCACACCCCCTCCATGTTGAGTATTTAAGCCCCAACAAATAGCCTGAATTAAAATTGCTTGAACCAGTGAGATGGTCGGCTGGTAAAGATACTTGCCACGCACACAGCCGGGGGACCTGAGTTAGATTTCCAGGACCCAAATAGTGGAAGGAAAGAACTGACACCAGCACACATACACACACATACACATGTAAACACATACACATGCAAATACACCACACACACACATAAACACATAGGCAAACATGCATGAATGCAAACACTTGAACACACTCACATGCAAGCACACACACATGTACTTGCACAGAATAAGTAAATGAACACAGTATAGAGGCACATGCCTTTAATCCCAGCACTTATGGGAATGAGGGAGAGTTCTAGGCCAGTTGAGGATACACAGTAAGATTCTTTCTTGAAAGAAAGAAAGAAAGCAAGAAAGAAAGCAAGCGCCGGGCGGTGGTGGCACACACCTTTAATCCCAGCACTTGGGAGGCAGAGGCAGGCAGATTTCTGAGTTCGAGGCCAGCCTGGTCTACAGAGTGAGTTCCAGAACAGCCAGGACTATACAGAGAAACCCTGTCTCAAAAAAACAAACAAAAAAAAGAAAGAAAGAAGTAAAGTAAAAAATATATAAATAAAATTAAAATGTTTAAGTTCATTTACCAATTTTGGAAATCTAGAAAACAGTCTAACTTAATACATGATGATGGTAACATCAGTTTTTAACAAAGTATCAAGTTCGCAATCCAGAGAGGTTGTCCATTTAGCAAGTTCCTGTAGACTGGGGGATGAGCATCCAGAGCCAAACTATGCCTTGCACCATGGTGTCCCCCTCCTACTGTGCTCACCTGTCCCCTTCCTGCCTCAGCTTAAACCCTCCAGCTCTGGGCCCCTCTCACGATACCTCTGTGTATTGACTTGTGTCGATGTCTCTCTCAGCCTGCCTTGCTCTGTTTCACCAGGGTCTAAGCCAGCCTGGCCTACCCAGGTCCTGCTCAGCCTGCCATGATGGGTCTCTCCTCCCCTGCCCTTCATCCTGTTCCCACATCTAATCCACCTCTGCCCAGCTTAACCTAACCCTAACCCCACAGGCTTCCTGCTGGCTGCAAAGACAGACCAGAGCTCAGGTCTCTGTCCCTTTATTCCATCCTAGACCCAGGGCCAGCTTTCCCCTCCCTGTGTGCCTCCTGTGAGAGCTGTTATGGAACAGCCCATAGTGTGACAAACCCAACAAGCTGTGGTCACAGCTCTGCAGTCTGGGCAGAGCTCGAAGGGACAGCTCATCCTATTTCCTGAGACCACAGCTGAGACATGTCACGTGAGTCTGAAAGATTGACTTCCAAGGTGGCCCACTTGGGTGGCCCATCTCCCCATCACAAGGCTGGTGAAGTGGTCCCTGGCTCTCGGTTTCTCTCCACAGATGGCTTGGGCTTCCTCACAGGGTGGCCTGGTTTCAGATGAGTGCTCTCCATGACTGCAGGGACTTTGTCTCTGCAGTCACTTGGCGTTACTTTAGCAGTGACATGAGACCACCAGGTATTTGCAACCTGAGGGGAGGGAAGTACAACCCTGGCTTCTCTCGTGAACCACAGCAAAGGCAGTGGAAGAGCACATGGGGCAGGGAGAGGTGTGGCCATGCTGCGTGTGAGGCAGGCCTCTCAGAGGAGCGTGTGAATGCATTTGTATGTATTCTGGAAGACGTTTGTTAGATTTGCTTACAGGGTCCAGGCTGGCTGCATAATGCAGGGGCTGAGAACCCGGCGGACTCCTTAACACTCCTTCTTGAACTAAAGACAAGGGAGTTTCCTAGAACAAAGAAACTGGGGTCCAGGGTTAGTGAAGGATGAACAGAGTAAAGGCAGGCACGGGCTTTGTCCTGACTCCTTCAGGTCTGGGTTGCCCTTTGGAGGGGGAAGCCCACATGAAGGATGGGTCTCTACCTCCTCTGCAGACATTAAAGATGGTTCTTTACTTCTTCTGCCCACATTAAAGATGGTTCTCTATCTCCTCTGCCCACACCATCCTCTATGGAAACACTCCACAAACAGGTACCTGTTATTTTATGTATTTATTTGGAGTAGGGTGTGTAAGCATGACCACGGTGCCCCTGTGGCGCTCAGAGACAATTTGGGGCTGAGCTCTGGTCTTCTCTTCCACTGTGTGCATCTGAGGATCAAAAGTCCTGGTCAGCCTGGATGACCCTTACGTACTGCGCCGTCTTTTCTTTTTCTCTTTCTTTCTTCCTTCCTTCCTTTCTTCCTTCCTTTCTTTTAAAAGGTTTATTTACTTATTTAATGTAAGTACACTGGCTGTCTTCAGACACACAAGAAGAGGACACCAGATTCTATTACAGATGGTTGTGAGCCACCATGTGGTTGCTGGGAATTGAACTCAGGACCTCTGGAAGAGCAGTCAGTGCTTTTAACTGCTGAGCCATCTCTCCAGTCCCATCTTTTCTTTTTCAATTTTGTTTTTTGTTGTTTTTGTTTTTGTTTTGAGACAGGATTTCTCTGTGTATTTCTGGCTGTCCTGGAACTCACTCTGTAGACCAGGCTGGCCTCGAACTCAGAAATCCACTTGCCTCTGCCTCCAAAGTGCTGGGATTAAAGGCATGTGCCACCACTGCCCGGCATTTTGTTTTGTTTTTGAGACAGGATTTCTCTGTCCAGCCCTGGCTTCCTTGGCTAGGCTGGCCTTCGACTTAGAGATTCATCTGCTTTTAGCTCCTAAGTGCTGGAATTAAAAGTGTATGCTATCATACCTGGTTCTTTTTTTAAAAATTGATATTTATTAATATTATTTTAAAATTATATACATATTAATGTTTTTGACTGCATCTATGGCTATGTGTCTCATCTTCATTCCTGATGCCCAAGAAGGCTAGAAGAGGGTGTCAGGTCCCTTGGAACTGGAGTTACAGATGATGGTGCACCACCATGTGGTTGCTGGGGACTGAACTCAGGTTCTCAGGAAGAGCAATGAGTGTTCTTAGCCACTGAACTGGGTCTCCATCCCCGTTACTGATTCATCTTGTAGGTCCCATCTTGCTGCCCCCTCAACGGCTCTGAATCTAGTCAAGCTCAACATAAGGCTCAAATGTCCCCCCTACAAGTTCAAATGTGAAAAGTTTGCTTTTGAGATGGGATGTCACTTGGTAGGGCAGGCTGTCCTTGAACTGGGTCTCCTGCTGGGGGATCCCAGGAGTGCGCCTGTGACGAGCCCTGTGTTGGATATTTAATCTGGCAGCTGGGATGCATAGGAACTAGACCAGAAGCTTTGCATGATGGAATTAAATGAGGTTTCGAGGGTAGAGCCCCTAGGTCAGTGTTTCTCATCCCCGTGGGTCACAACCCCTTTAGAGAGTCAAATGGTCCTTACAGAGGAGTCGCCTAAGACTGTCAGAATACACAGATATTTACAATACAATTCATAACAGTGGCAAAATTGCAGTTATGAAGTAGCAAGGAAAAGAATTGTATGTTTGGGGATCAGCACAGCACGGGGGACTGTGTTAAAGGGTGGCAGCACTGGGAAAGTTGAGAACCACTGCCCTGGATGTCACAGGGAGGAAGGGGTTCACTGCTGCCCTGCTCTGTCCCCTGGGGTGTCTCCACTCTCGTGGAGTGACATGGTGGAAGACCAGGTACTCCAGCCTCAGGGACCACAGGCCAGATTAGCTCAGTCTCTTTCTATCATGTTCCCATGAATGAGACAACAGGAACACTGCTTGTCATGTGTCCGATACCTTTGTCAGTACCTGTGCATATAGGCATATACACATGTATACATGTATACACAAACAATATACATGGAAACACATATACCCATGTATGTATACACTATCTTATACATGTATATATGTATGAACACAGATGCATACGTGTATACACATACATATACACATAGGCATGAATACCCACACATATCTGCACATATACACACAAACATACACACATGTATATACACAATACACAGTATGAATAAACATACATACGC